TTCAAAACTAAAAACAATTTCAAAGCTGATAGAATTCAAAGCTTACAGATTTACTACTTCAATTTGGTTTTGCTTAATCAAATTCAAATTACTTATTATTTAACAGAATTATTGGCGACAACTTTATAGCTCTTTTAGTTTATGTTGATGACATATTGGTAGCTAGCTCCTCTGCAAGAATTGCATATGAACTTAAATAAAGAAATGCTTTCAACAGAAGTTTCTACAGTGAGTAACCATATCTATTCTTCTCTTCATTTGAGCCACACTACCTGCAGAGAGTTCCCATTCCAAAACAAACGACGCAAGAAATGCTGACGTTTCCTATCGCACCGCTCACGACTCGACAGATTTCGTCCTTTATCGGTCGATAACAAGCTGACTAATCAGCCGCCACCCAACAACGTGTTCGAATCCCCTTCGCATGAACTTTCTTCGAAACATCATTGACGTAAACACTAAACTTGTTGTCGGTACTATAAAAGCAATTAGGGACATTCTTGGAAACATCATCTCGACATAAACACTAAACTTCTTGTTGGTGGTACTATAAAAAAGCAATTACGAACTTTCTTGGAAACATCATTTTCTCTCTCCTTATCTTTGGGCTTTCATTCATGTTGCAAATCTTTACGGTATGCTAAGCAGTGATCAATTCTTTTCATAGTTACATAACTGTGTTTGTTTGCTGTGGTTACGTAATTTTCCTTTTTTGTTTCCTTTCAGTTTCCTAAAAAAATTTATAATTGGAACATATTCTGATGCTTTAAATACAATATCTTCTCCTTTTTGTACTCATTATAAAATACAGAAAGGACAGGTTGATTGCGAGAAGTCCATGGCCCCAAGACAAATGGCCATTAAGAAAAGTCTCATGTCAATGAAGAAAAGGGTGAAGGAATATTCTTGGGAGGTATAGCCTTATCTTCATAACCTTTCTCTTAGTCTTTTCTGGCGAAGACTCGCTTTTACTCACCATTATTCAATCAATTCTTTCCTTACCAAAGTAACTAAGATCCAATCTAATGCCAAAATAGAAGAAAGTGAGGAGATCGAAAGCAGAGTTAGCTGAGATGAGAGAAGAAATGAAGCATAAGAATGAAGAGCTGGCAAGGCTTCTTCACCAACTTGTCCAAAGGAAACAACTGATAAGATCGGTGGCAAGGTCCAATACTTGGGTCAATCACTTCGTTGAAGCAACGATTGCAAGTTGGGAAGATTAAAAGAGAGGGAACTACCTGAACCCATCTTTCTTTCTGGTTGGTTTCTTTTGTACCATCACCTTTGGTGAACGTAATTCGCTTTATGTCTTCTTTTTTTTCTCTTTTTGCTCTTAACCTTTTATTTTTGCTTTCTTTTTCACAGAAAGGACAAAATGCAAAGAAAAAATAAAATTTTTATCATGAAAACAAAAGAATAAAATAGAATTACATGAACAAAAGAGAAAAAGGAAGCTTTTATCATAAACATGTTCATTTTTTACTGTTCGAACTAAGAAACAGAGAGTGTATTGAAGAACAGTCTCTTACTCTCTCTATGGAAATGGGCGGTGAACAACTTTACCAAGGTGTGAATTGAAGTTAAAACAAGGAAAAGTTATACTTTTTTTTTAAGCATATTATTCAAATAAGTCTTTAAATTATTTAAAAAAATTTATATTTTTTATTATTTCTATCAAATTTTTATATTTTATTTTAAATTAAATATATTTTTATATTTTATTTTAAATTAAATATATTTTTATATTTAATAATTAATTAATTATTATTAATCAAAATGACAGTAATTTTCTATCCTCGTGTTAATGATATGAAGTTGATGGGTCCGTAGACGTTACGGTCATGGAATCGATCACAAAGGTTTGGAGTTCAAATGGTGGAATCAGCAGAGGAGAGGGTAAGTTTGGCGGCGGAGGGGTTGGGTCAGGGACAGGGACTAGTCAATTGGTGGAGAACGGCTTTAGGCGTTGTTGATAAGATTTGCATGATGTTTGGAAGATGATTCAATTTTAAGTTAGAATTTTGCAGAAGCGTCTACATGAGTGAAGAGACGTATTATATGTAATTTTACATCCTTTTTAATTTTTTAATAATTAATACTTATAATCTCTATATGAGTATTTGTAATTTGTGTAATCTCATCCATTGTTAAAGTCTTTGTATATACCATGCAAATGAATAAAAAAAGCTGATGATGAAGTTTAATTAATTTGAAAGACCTTTGTTTGTCCCTTATTTTGAACTACTCATTCTTTGTATATGAGGACCTTTGCAGTGACCTCATTCTTGTTTCTTACTCTTAATCCGTTTTACAGAACACTATTGAACAGAGTCGACCACAAGGTTTTTGGGTGACAAGCCGGCAATAGCATTGGCAAACGTATCGATATTTAAAAAATCACTGCTACCAAGAATAAAATAATATAAATAATGTACAAAGAAAAAGTATGTGACGTAAGAAAATGCTTTTGCAGTAACAGTGTGGGACCACGAGAATATGTTAAATGGATGTTACAACCAAACCAATAATCTGTGTTTCATTCAAAACCGAGCGACTCTTGAAAATCGTTCGATAACTGGCCTCATTGTATAACTGCTCTTTCTTCCTCCTTTCACTCCGGCTTCTCTCCATCTTCCTCCGAACACCAGACGCGGTTCACTAACATTAACTTGTTACATGTATATTTATATTCCAGTCTTCATGGCTTTTCATTCAACACAATCGAAGATTATATCTCCAACTCATTCAGCTTTAGTTTTCTTTGAGTCGATAAAATGGCGATGAGCATGAGGAAGAAGGCCTTCAAACCAAAAGTGAAGAGTCTGAAAGTGAGGGCCCAACGAATAAAATCAGAAGTAGGAAAGATAAGGGAAGATCAACAATGCATAAGAGAGGAGCAAAGAAATATAGGAGAAAGGTTTGGAGATGTGAAACGCCAATGCGATCAACTCAGAAAGGAAACTCAAGTGATTATGAAGCAAACAGCTTGCAATCGGATTCGGCTTATTCTTGTGTTTAATATCTTACGAGCCCGCGAAGAAGGGGACCTTGATAAAGCTGCTACCTTCACTCGCTTCCTTAAATCGGTTGCTTAAATTGGTTTCCTTCGTGCATACACTACGGGCAGCAAATTCAACGATGGATTCACTTGCAAAAATTGGGGTCGATCCTAGTGACATGTTTTATGCTTGGTGGTGAGATATTATGTTTTTCCTTGTGATGCCTCTCAGGTTTATGGGGTGTTCTACCATCTCTTTTCTGGCTTGTCAATGTTGAGATCTGCGGGTCTGCTGATGGAGTTTTCTGGATATTCAGTTTAATTAATGAAGTTTAATTAATGTGAGATATTATGATTTTCATTGCTGCTGGTGATTTTCAGTTTGGTTTCCGATAATTGGGATGGTTGGTGTTCACCCCTTGGTGTTTGTATGCTTTATGAGTATGGTTTTCAGTTTTTACATCAATAATTTTCATAATATTGTACGTAATTTATTAATGTGTACTTTGGATCTCTTTCCTTTTTCATTTTGCCATAATGCTCAAAAAAATTTGTAAACTTTTCAAGAAAATTTAAATAATTGCTTATTCTTTTATTTTATTCAATCAAGTCTTTGTAGTTTGATTTTGGATCAAATAAGTCCTCATAAATACTAGTTGATTAATTGCCAATAATCATTTTATGTCTATGTGGCGCTGACATAAAAGGTGAAAAATACGATATAATTATGTCATCATGTCACATTAACATACTTTGTCATCATATATTATGACAATATAACATGTCATGTTTATCACATCATTGCCATATGATATAGAATGACAAGTGATATTTTGATTAAGTCAACTATTAGTTGTAAAGGCTTATTTAAGTCGAAATAAAAGTGTAAAGGCCTATTTGACTCAGAATAAAAATATGAAAGCTTGATTGAACGAAATAAATGTATAAGGACTTATTTGAATTTTTTTTGAATAGGTTAAAGGCTTTTTTAGATATTATGCCTTTTATTTTTTATTTCTTTCATTTTTTTTTATTTTTCCTAATTTTTTATTTGCTTTTATTATCTTTATTTTGTGGAATCAAATTTGTTAATGCAAGATGAAATGTTTCCCTTCTGATTTTTTAATTTTTTTATATTTTTATTTACTTTTTATTTACTCATTTTTTATTTTTTGAATTTTTGGGTATATATATATTGATTCATTTCAATTTGAACCCTAAGTTTGCAATTTGGACCCTAAGCTTGTATTTTAGACACTAACCCTAGACTTAATTGATGTGTTAAGCTCATTCCAACGTAATTAAAGCTCAAATAAAAATAATCTAAGAAAGCTAAAAATTGGAGTAATCAATAATGAGCTAATGTAGATTAAAAAAATTAAAATATATGATTTTGGATAAAATGGGATGTTCATAGCTACTCCTAAACATTGCACATTGTGAATTATGAGAATCATGAATTGTACAAGGTTAAATTATACAATTAGTTCCTGTATTATGCAAAAAGTACAGATTTTGTCTATGTATAATAATTTGTGTAAATTAGGTTCCTGTACTTTATTAATTTGTTAATTTTAGTCTTTAATTATAACACCGTTAAATTTGACCATTAAGTATTCTAACGTGGCATTTTGACCAAGTTGACATGGTACTAATAAAAATGACATGGTACTAATAAATATGTTGACATGATAATTGTTGACATGTATATTGATGTGACATTTACTAATGTGGCAAAAATGCTGACAAGGCAGAAGGTTTACCTAATAAAAAAATACTAACATTTCCACATGAGATTAACAAAGAAATAAAAAAAAAACCCTAACCCTAAATTAAAAGTTAAATGAGTTTAGCAACAAAAAAGATTAAGAACTTTCAAACAAAATTAAGAGAGAAAGAAAGAAAGATCTATAGTTGAAGAGGGAGAATCAACTCGTTTTGAATTTGGAGTTGAAGGTAGGGAAACTAATGGATTTTCTTTTTGAAGATTCAACTGGTTTTGACTCAACAATTTTTCATTGAAAATTCAACTAGTTAATACAAAGACTTTATTGCAATCTCATCTACATTTGTTTTTCTTTTTGGCAAATTATTGCATTTTAAAGGTTAATGGGCTGTCTTTTTGCCGGCAAAGATTGACACAATTCTGGCAACTTGTGTCTTGCAAGAACGCTATGTAGAAGAAAAAAATTATCAGCCAATTACATGCCACCATATGGATTTAATAATATCTTACTATATAATTAATTATAAAATAATTAATTTATTGGTTAGATTATTTTAAAGACATATAGTTGAACCAATTCACTTATTGGTATATATTTATCTCTTGAGATAATTTGAAGATAATATTTAAATTGGACCAATCAAAAATTAGCTATTGATCATCCAATTTATCTCAAAATAAATCAAAATAATTTGAAGATAATCTTCATATTTTTGACCAATCAAAATTTAATTATTTGTCATTTAATTTATTTCTAATAATTAAATTAATTTAGAGATAAAATTCAAATTAGATTATTTAATTTATCTCTCAATAAATTAAGATAATTTAGAGATAATACCTAACTTCGGCCAATCAAAATTCAAGGAGTCAAAGTCTGGCCAATCAAAAGACTTTCAATGAATCATCATAGTTTATCTCTAAATAAATTAAAATAATTTGGGGATAATTTAAAGAGATTACATTCTCATCAAAGTCTCCCACTTAGCATTTTAAATATGGGGCTCCTCCAAGCCATTTTGATTCATTCGGAAACATTCGAAGATTGGGAAGCATTCGAAGATTCGAAAACATTCGAAGATTGAGAGCATTTCAAAGATCAAGAAGAATAGAAGATTTCTGAAGTGAAGATCAAATGGCAACAAAATTCGTGATCAAGATCGAGTCGTGAAGACCCTTGAAGCAAAAATAAAGTGTTCGTGATCAAGATCAAGTTGTAACGACCCTTGAAGTGAAAATCAAGTGTTCGTGATCAAGATCAAGTCGTGAAGACCCCTTGAAGCGAAGATCAAGTGTTCGTGATCAAGATCAAGTCGTGAAGACCCTTGAAGCGAAGATCAAGAGTTCGTGATCAAGATTAAGTCGTGAAGACCCTTGAAATGAAGGTCAAGTATTCGTGATCAAGATTAAGTTGTAATGACCCTTGAAAACGAAAGATTAAGTAAGTTCGTGAATAAGTGACAAGAAATTTCGTGATCAAGATATCAAGTGTTTGTGATCGAGATTAAGTCACGAAGACCCTTGAAAACGAAGATCAAGGAAGTTCGTGATCAAGACTAAGTCCAAGTTTGTGACTCTTGAAGACGAAGTGAAAAAACTAATCAGAGAAATTTCCAGAGATTATCACTTACATCATCAAATATTTGTATTTGACTTATAATTTTCAAGTCAAGAAATTTTGACAAGAAATTTTTGTGTAAAAATTTCTAGCACACCCAGTGGGACGATCTTTGCCTCTCATCGTCTTTCTTCAAACAAATCTCCAAATATCTCCAATTTGAAATGGCTCCTGAGAAGAATCTCACCAATAAACCTGCTATTAAATATGCTAGAGCGAATCCTATAGTTTTTCCTACTTCATCATCAAGCACAGATGTTCCAACACATCCATATGATGCTCTTACTAAATTGTATGACCAAACTCTCTTAGTCCTCAACTAAAATCCTTTGTATGATGCTTCTTCCCCAAGTTTTGAAGAAGTCCCTACTGTGGAAATTGCTTCCTCCAAAAGATCAAGTACCAATCAACTCAAGGAACATGATGGCTACTCAAGCAGTAGCTCTGTTTCATCATCCTCTCGCCAAAGTTCTTCGTCAAAAGTAGATTCTAGAATAATGGTTGTCATGACAACTGGGACAGCATCTCTAGAAGAGCAAGTTGCGCTTGTTGCGAAGACTGTGGAATCTTTGACAACAAGTATCAGAGAAAAAGTTACTTGTTAAGAGACTTGATTAGAGAAAAAGTTGCGCTTCTACTAAAAAATGTCAAGCATGTCAATTTCATGCTAATGTCATTCATCAACCCCCTGAGCCACTCCACCCAACAGTTACATCGTGGCCATTTGATGTTTGGTGACTTGACTTGGTTGGACCATTACCTAAAAGTTCCATAGGTCATCTCTACATACTTGCAGCCATAGACTACTTTTCAAAGTGGGCAGAAGCAATATCTTATCGAGAAGTCAAGAAAGAAATTGTTGCTACCTTCATT